AAAGAGAAAATCAAAGCAATAACATGACAGACCAGAAGAAGAGTTACACAAAAGATGTAACTCTGCAAGGACAATATTCTCTCACAAGAACAACAGTAAAAGGTCAGGCACCTTCCAAAGATGCCTGGGCTTAGATAACACTGTCTAACTAATACAATTTCACTGGGTACAATTTTTCCAGCAGCCAAAATCCTACTGTGGGGTGAGTTAAGACCCATTTATAAGAGACAGTTATACTATGTTGAGCTTCTCCTCTGAAGTTGAAATAAATTTTTAAAAGCTTTATTCAATTCAGAGCAGTTCCACTGAAATGAAATTAATAACAAATTCAAAATGTCTGGATTTCCCTAAGAAAATGTCAACTCCTTCCCCAGAAACCTACCCAAAGAAAAGACAAATGGAGTTCTTATTCCCTGGAGTAATTCAGACCTTTAATCAAGGGCCAGGTGGTACAGATGGTTGAAATGATGTTTCTGGAAGCACATTTCCAAATACTTTCCCAAAGGGCCCCCCAACTGTAATATAAACTATTAAGAGGGATTTGATACAACTTCAGCTACAGTATTCATGGATGGTAAGCAAACTCCCTCACAAAAGCTCGACATACTAACAACTCTCCAACAGACTTCCAGGGTTCTCGGCCCTTTGGTGGGCTAAGGGAAGGTACGCGACCCTTCCAGCGAGGACACTAAGGTAGGATACAGGGCCCTGGAGTGTCTAGCCAACCTCCTGAATTTTACAGACCTCGCAGCAGCAGTTAACTTTCTCACCCTTTTGGTATCAAAGTTCACCCAGAACCCAGGTGTCCGGATCCCAGATGCACATCCGCATACACGACCAAGGAGCGGCCAGAGGGCGTGATCCTGAGCCAGATGACGTGCACACTCACGCAGCTCTTCCACGAATTGTTTGCATACCTTTGCGCACCCTAGCTTCTGAGCTTCAATTTCTACATCTGCGAAATGGGAGTCAGAGGCTCCAACAGCCTGGGGCTGCGGGAAGAGCCAGCGTGCTGAAACTCGTTCGCAGCCTCTCCCCTCCCCGGCTCGAGGGGGCGCCCCAGAGCCCGCCCCCTCCGCCCCGGCGTCGCGGCACCCACCTGCACGCTGGGGAAGGCGGTCTTGAGCAGGTAGAACATCTTGCGGTTGGACAGCACGTCGCCGCTGGTCATCTTGTCCTCGGCTCCCTCGCGCGTCTTCCCCTTGGACTTCTCGTGGAGGACGTTGCTCTCGCGGACGCGCCTCACCTCGTCGCCGCCGCGGACGGCGGCCAGCACGGACACCGCC